GGCTCCAAATCCTACACCAGGGAATGGTTTGGGTTGGAAAGGACCTTAAAGACCATCCAGTCCCACCCCCTGCATGGGCAGGGACACCTCCCACCAGCCCAGGCTGCTCCAAGCCCCATCCAACCTGCCCTTCAACACTGCCAGGGATGGGGCAGCCACAGCTTCCCTGGGCAACCTGGGCCAGGCTCTCACCACCCTCACAGGGAAGACTTTCTGCCTAATGTCCATCCTAAATCTTCCCTCTTTCAGCTTAAACCCTTCCCTCATCCCACCCCTCCCTGCCTGTGTCCCAAGTCCCTCCCCAGCTTTCCTGGAACCCCTTCAGACACTGAAAGCCCCCCCCCAAGTTCCCATGGAGGAGGGTGAGGTCTCACAAACACGTGTTTCCCATCAGCCCAGTTCTGATGGATCAAGAAACCAAGGCAGCAGCCCTGGGGTGCAACATCCCTGTGCTCCTCCAGAAAAGCCACATCTCCCACGGCTTCAGCAGGGAACCAGCAGGAAAAGCCTCCATTTCACAAACTCTTCTTGTCAATAATTACCTAAATCAAGGTCGGGTCCTTCTTCCATGTGTCCTGCCAGTCGGGAAAGAACCACAAGAAGGGGTGTTAGTGCCCGCCGGGCAGGCTGCAGACCGACACACACAACTCTAGCTACTAAACAACCACCATGGGATGGCGCTGGTGAAACACCACCCGACCTGCCCTTGCACAGCAGCACCGCACCTCCAGGGGGGTCGGGGTGCTCTTTTTAACAGCCTTTCCAACCATTAACCAACTGGGCTTTTTTATTATTATTTTTTTCGGGTTGTTTTCTTTTTTTGTTACCTGTTGGTTTGTTCAGGCTTTACCAGGCCAATCGGTTCATTAATTACGTATATTAAAAAAAGTGACTTTTCTATCCAAACAAATAAAAGCAAAAAAAGTAAAAATAAATATAACAAATAAAGTCTTAACCATCCAAACCATTTAAACACTACCCCAAATTACAGAAGTGGTTGCTCAAACTCTTCCAGGTCACCCTGTGTCCTGTAACCCCTCAAGGCATCGCCGGCATTACAGTCTGGTTGCATTTTTTTTTTTTTTTTTTAAAACCACTTTAAACAACTTAAAAAGACAACAAAAATTTACACTTTGTTCTAAAAAACTGTCTGCAATTTTTTTTTTAAACTTTTTTTTTTTTAACACTATCCATTGTAATGCTCAAAAACTTACCACCAGGCTTATTGAAGCCACCTCGCTCTCCAGCGCTGCTGGGGGGATAAACGAAGAAATGAAGGCCTGTCCCTTTACAAAGCCAGTACAGCTCGGAGCCTCTGCGGCTCACGGGGAAGAAGGGCACTGGCTAAACATCTCCAGACAATGCATCTGTCTCTCTCTCTCTCATCTTGGCACTAGGCCTTTCTTCAGGGCAGCTTGCTCAAATTTTCTTTACCATTTAGGCAACCTCGCTTGTCTGGGTTTAGACACCGCTGTGGGGACCCTGGCGTGGCTCGTTGTGGGGATTAGCAGTGCAATACTTGGCTAAAAAATGGGTTTGAGAGTTCAAAAGCAGGGTCGGTTGGTTGGGTGGGGTGTTTTGGTGGTTTTGTTTTTTTTTTTTGGTTTGCTTCAGAGGAAATGTGGGGTCGTGGGTTGGTCAGCTCCCTCCTCTGTGTGTGTCCATAAAGGTGCGCCCTCAGCCTCTCGCAAGGAGCCCGCGGGTCCCTGACATTTAACAGTTCAAAAAAGGAGGAGACAAACCACCCGCGAGACCTAAACACAGTTCAGATGACATTTCCAACTCAGAACCCTGGGAGAAAGCCATACATTCAGGTCACTACTGAATTTCACAAGTCTCTGCAGAGGGAGAACTTACAGTAACACAGGCGGGGGCTCCGAGGCCTGGGGTGCAGCTTTGTGGACACAGAGCAGATTTTCGGCCGGTGCCGACTCGGTGGCCTCAGCTTTTTGACAAAAGCTTTGGCTGGAGATTTAAGGCTGCTTTCAAGTGCTGGTGAATTAAGGAAAATGCCACCTGAAGAGGATTTTTGGATCGTTCTTTCTTTTTTTTTTTTTTTTTGCTTGGTTGGACATATTTTTTGGAGACAAAAAGCCATTTGGGAGCAGAGGAGGGAGAAAAATTCCCCCTAAGGGGGATTTTTGGTTGTTTTTTTTTTTTTTTTTTTTTTTTTGCTTGGTTGGACATTTTTTGGAGACAAAAAGCCATTTGGGAGCAGAGGAGGGAGAGCACCACCTATTTCCTAGCAAGTATTGCACCTCTAATACTGGAGAAAAAAAGTTGTCAATACACATTTCCAAGCTGTGTTGCATGCAGCTTCACCTCCTTTGCTTCAAGTACACACCATTTCATGTTCATGTCTCTAACACACAGGTTTACACTTGCTTTCCTTTTTTTTTTCTTCGTTGCTTTTTGCTCTTAACGTTACACAATTCTAAAGTAGTTTTACCTCCTCTGGTTTTATTACCAAACAACAAGTAGGCAGTTACCAAAGTTACAGAAGGATTCCGTTTTATACAATGAATACATTTGGTTAAAATTATTCTAGGTATATATATATGTATCTTATATTTTTTCCTCTCCATATGGACACCGTGTCTAGTCCCACTTTTCATTATGCTGCCGGCTGAGTACTGAGTACGGGTACTTTTTAAGTACTGAAGTGTGTAAACAAGGCTCTCACTTTGTAACCTGTAGCATATAAATGCGACAAAGCATGTTAAAAAGTTTCCATGTTTAACAGCCAATGAAAAAATAGAAAAGAATTGAGTCAATGAGAAAGGGCACGTGAATAACATCGAGCTCCTTACCTGCCGGAGACACTGAAATCCATCACCACAGCATGATAAGAAGGGCAGAGTTCCCCTACCTGCCCTTGGGCCTTCAAAGGATGGGGCTTTCAAAGGATGGGGCCTTCAAAGGATGGGTAACTTTGCTAGGGACAGCAGAAAGTCTGCCTTTTGCCATGGAATATTGGGAATAGCAGGGATCGCTACGGGCGTAATTTGAGCCCGGGTCAGGGAGTGAAATCAGAGAGAGGTGACAAGTCTTTTCAGAGGAGAAAAGGGGCTTTTCTGGCAGTTTTTCAGATGTGATGATAGACATTTCAAGTGTCTACATCTACTTGAAACCGTTAAGAGGATCAATAAATCAAACCATCATGATGGGTGAAATCTTTATGCAGAACCAGGGCACTCTGGGCCGCTCAAGCCAATTGAAGCCGGATGGATCCCGACACAAGCCCATCATTTTTCTGCTGCTTCCACACTCTGGGAGTTGCATTTCTCCAATAAAGATTTCATACCACTTCGTATCAACAGAGCTATGCAGAATGGGAATGTCCATCACCACACTCTGGTAGCCACCAGGTTGTAAAGCACGCTCAGAAGTTGCCTCTCGAGGAGAAGCTGTTGATTCCAGCTGCCCTGCTGAGCACCAGGGCCAGCCCTGTGCACCCCCACAACTCCAGTGTACCCCCAGGGACACTCTGCATAGCTCTGAAGGACGGTGCAGAGGGATGGAACACACACAAAGCTACATCCTCCTTCTCTGAGGAGCCTTTAGGATCAATCCTCCTTCCTCACCACTAGCAAAACCTCAAGGACGGGGAGATGCTGCTGAGCTGAAGGCAGAGGTTCACCAAACCAGACTTTGCCATCAGGTAAAATGGACAAACTGATTTGGACCACCCAAAAGCTCCAAGGGGAGCAGGCCTGGGAGCCCAGCCAGAGCTCTCTACGTTCTCAGGGTCTTTCTTCCAGCTCCAACCAAGCTCTAAGTGTCCTGGTCACTCAGAGCCATGGCTGTGGAAGTAGCAACCTGCCCCGGGCATGCCCACACAGCTCCATGTGCTACTGCTAAGGTGAAGAGGCTGGTGGCAGAACATGGGGCTGACAGGAGGTTCCTGCCTTGTACATACCTGAACTGTCAAGATTCCCACTGCCAAGGCACAGGGAGTGACTCCCAACCTAGCAGGAGGTTTGTGTGTGTTCGATCCGGAGTTACGGTTAAATCCCACAGAGGATCTCACCTCTGGACCACCACGAAGGGAGCTGAAAGTTCCAGGTTTAGCAACACCCCCGATTTTCCCCACCCCACCCTGGGCCCAACCAACTGCAGGAACAAAATAAAATCCAAAGAGATCCTGCTCCTATTCCCCTTAGGATCAGATTTCCATGGATGAGAAGCAACGCTGCTCTTAGAGCTGCTTCCCCATGGAAGTACAATTGGGAACGTCAAACCTTTCAGTCCCTTCTTTAGCCATTTCAAATCCTATGGGTGAACCAGAATTAAGAGAAAAAGGAGAAAAGCTTTGCTCTTACCCCATTCCACCTCGTCCTCCTCCCCGCCCACCTCTGCTCATGCCTCCACGATCATATCCCCCTCTGCCCCTGCCCCGGCTGTCGGGGCCGCTCAGATTCCGGTTCTCTCCTGGGCCTGAAAAGCCTCCAGATTCTTGTCCATACACGCTCATGCTGCTGGGATGGTCCTGACGGAAGGAACCTGAGGGAAGTTTGGGATATAAAAATGTTAGGGAGCTGCAGAAAAGCAGGTGGGGAGGTGGTTGTTCCTTCCCTAAGCCCTGTCACGCCTGCTTTCAGCACCCGGAGGTAACGGTGCCCAGTGACTGCTCCGCTGTTGGCGGAGCAATGAGCTGCTCCTGGTGGCACTGGAGTCACAGCACAGGGGGCTGGAAGGGACCTCTGGAGACCAACCTGTCCAGCCCCCTGCCAGAGCTGGATCCCCTTCAGCAGATCCCACAGGAACACTTCCAGGCAGGTTGGGAACGTCTCCAGAGAAGGAGACTCCACAGCCTCCCTGGGCAGCCTGTCCCAGGCTCTGTCACCCTCACAGCAAAGAAGTTTCTCCTCCTGTTTAACTTGAACCTCCTGTGCTCCAGTTTGTGCCCATTGCCCCTTGTCCTGTCACTGGACACCCCTGAGAAGAATCTGGCCCATCTCTCTGACACCCCCTGCAGATATTGATCAGTGTTGAAGAGATCCCCCCTCAGCCTCCTCCTCCAGCTGAGCAGCCCCAGCTCTCCCAGCCTTTCCTCACAGGCAGATGCTCCAGCCCCTCACCTTCACAGCCCTTTGCTGTCCCCTCTCCAGTAGTTCCTTGTCCTTCATGAACTGAGGAGCCATGAACTAGAGACTCAGTTCTCCAGATGTGTCCTCACCAGGGCAGAGCAGAGAGGCAGGAGAACCTCCCTGATCTGTAGGCCACACTCTTCTCAATGCCCCCCCGGAGGCCCATGGCCTTCTTGGCCACAAGGGCACATTGCTGGCTCATGGTCAGCCTGTTGTCCACCAGGACTCCCAGGTCCTTTTCCCCAGAGCTGCTCTCCAGCAGGTCAGCCCACCCTGTGCTGATCTGTGGGGTTCCTGCCCAGATGCAGGACCCTACACTTGTCCTTGTTGAACTTCACTGAGTTCCTCCCTGCCCAGCTCTCCAGCCTGTCCAGGTCACACTGATGGCAGCACCACCTTCTGGAGTGTCACCAGCCCTCCCAGCTTTGCACCATCAGCAAGTTTTCTCTTAGGCCTCTCCCAAACCCATCCCTTCCCACCAAGTCCTGCCCACTTCCCACAACAATTATTTTGCACCTCTGTGTTCTTTACCCACCTGCTCCCCCTGCCCACGCTGAGGGGGCCATGGCCACTCATCACCTCCCCCCACAAGCCATTTTTCAGGGGGGAAAAGGGCCAAACCCAGCTCCAACAAGTTCTGCCTCCCAGGCAGCTGCCAGATGGAGACCCCAAGGACCACCAAGAGCAAGGGAGGACGTTGCTCTGCTCCCCTCTGCTGGGTGCACTCACTTGGTGGGCCGTAGCTGCTGCTCTGCTGGCTGTACTGGCTGGGGGCCTGGCTGTAGGATGCTGTCGGGGGGGGGTAACTGGTTGGGGGGGGCTGCTGGCCATAGCTGCTGGGCTGGCCATAGCTGGTCTGCTGGCCATAGGTGCTCTGCTGTCCATAGGTGCTCTGCTGGGAGTAAGTGCTCTGGTCGTAACTGCTTGGCTGTGTGGAGGGGTAGCTGGAAGAGAAAGGAGTGAAGAGATGAGCCTGTGGGACAGGAGAGGTTTAGGTTGGACATGAGGAGCAAATTCTTCCCTGTGAACGTGGTGGAGACACTGGAACAGGTTGTGCAGGGAAGCTGTGGCTGCCCCATCCCTGGGGCAGGGGGCAATTAGCACAAATGAGGGCTGTGCCTGCCCCTGCCTGCTTGTCCCCCTTGACCTCAGCATTAAAGGTGATCCTGCTCATCCAAAACATCTCAGAACCACCACATGGCACAGCATGTCATGGAAGAGGGGAGATTGAGGCTGGACATTAGGGAGAAAATTCTCCCCTGTGAGGGTGGTGAGAGCCTGGCCCAGGTTGCCCAGGGAAGCTGTGGCTGCCCCATCCCTGGCAGTGTTGAAGGGCAGGTTGGATGGGGCTTGGAGCAACCTAGTCTGGTGGGAGGTGTCCCTGCCCATGCAGGGGGGTGAGACTGGATGATCTTTAAGGTCCTTCCCACCCAACTCAGTCTGGGATTCTCTGGTGATTCCATGGATTCACCAGCAATGTGCACAAGGCTACAGAAGTGGCTCATGCTGGAAGATAATGCAATTATGAGCCATATGTACTGTTGTAAACCATTTAAAGGGGTTTGTAGTCACCCTGGGGAGGCCAGTCTGGTGGCAGGAGACAAAATAAACCTGGTAGGCTGCTGGAAGCAAAACCCACGTGACTGGTCACCATTTATTTGTACTTCTAGAAAGAGGCAGAAGTGCCAGGACAAAAAATCAGTGGCAATGCAGGTGGCTTCTGCTTCAGCACTGAAATCCTTCCAGGTGATGATACTAAACCAGTCCCTGCTCAGGCACCTCAGGCTTTGAGAATTTCAAAATAAGGCACTTCAGAAGTCAGCGTCAGCTTCTTGAAGACACCCGAGGGCAAGAGGTGAGCCCTCTGGAAAAGCCACATGTAAGGAGGCAGCAAAAGGTTGCTACAACACACTTTGCATCCAGGAAACACCTTCAAACCATTTGTCACTGTCACCCGTTGCTACTGCAGGTGAGCACAGAGTCACCTGCACAGCCTCAGCCCCACCAAGACCCTCACCACCCTCCTCCCAGGACACCCCACCTCCTTTCTACATCTGCTGGTTTGAAATCTCTGGAGATCACCCCTTTTGCCCAAGCCAACCTGGGGGCTTCCCAGGCCAGGGGAGGGGGCTCAAGAGTTACCTGGTGGGTGGGTAGGAGGGCGGGGCAGTGACAGGCTGCAGGGGGTAGCTGGCAGGCACCTGGGGGTAGCTGTAGTTGCTCTGGCCATACCCCAGGCTGGGCTGGCTGTAGCCTGTCGTACTCGATTGTGGCTGGCTGCTCTCTGCTGGTTTGCTGCCATCCTGGGGTCTAGGGAGCAAGACAGAATGAGAAGGTGTAAAGTTCCACCTCTGGGAGCAGGGAAGGTGTTCAGATCCCCCTCTCCTGGCCCAGGACAGAACAACATGACCTGTTGCTTTGGGCAGTGTTACGAGCTCACACGGTGTTGGCGTCAGTCGTGCTGGCAGCACTTAAAATATGGTTGTTAAACATTATGGTCATTAAACACTATGGTCATTAAACACTATCAATATTTTAGCACCTGCTGAGTGGGTGTTTGCACACCCCCTGCCATCAGGAAAGGCCCGGGCAGCACCCTGGCCAGAGGGCACAGAGCACTGCAGTTTGCTCTTCACAACTCCCTGGAAGGAGGTGGGAGCGTAGGGGAAGTTGGTCTCTTTTCCCAAGTAATCAGTGTTAGGGTGAGAGGAAATGGCCTCAAGTTGCTCCAGGGGAGGTTCAGACTGGGTATTAGGAACAATTTCTTCACTGAAAGAGTGGCTGGGCCCTCGCACAGGCTGCCCAGGGCAGTGGTGGAGTCACCATCCCTGGAGGTGTTCAAAAAATGAGCAGATGTGGCACTTGAGGACATGGTTTAGTGGGCGTGGTGGGGTTGGGCAGAGGGTTGGACCCGAGGATCTTCCAGGTCTTTTCCAACCTTAATGACTCCACGACCACAGCTTCTGTTCATTATGAAACTTCTGGCTTAGACTTTGGCTCTGGAGTTGAGGGGAAGATGTGAAGGGGCCAGGAGAGGGCTGCTTTTGCACAACATTTGGAAGGGATTAGCACAGGAGCAGCCAGGAACTGGTGTCGGTTCAATGCCCCATTGTTTGGCTTCCAATCCCGTGTGAGCAGATATTGCCCCACACACCTTATCCGATGAAAGGGCACTGGGGGTTGGACTAGATGACCTTTAAAGGTCCCTTCCAACCCAAACCATGCTGGGATTCTATGTTTAGTATTAAGTCTCAGGGCCTGGAAAGAAAGAGAATCCTTTATGTGTGACTTGCACGTCCCCTTCTTTTGTATTGGTCCCATCCTGCTCGTGATCTCTGAGTTTAGGGAGGTGGGTAAGAAGAGTTAAGCTACTTTAGTTGTACCAGCTGAGAAAAATACTTCAAATGATGTCAGGATGCATAGTTAAAAGTAGACTCTGACAGATATGGACAGAGCTGTGCCAAGCTCCACCTTTCCTTGCTGGAGTGGTTGCTACAAACAACAGGTGAGGAATAAAGCACTTTTTCCTCCTTGCTAAACAAGTTTCCATGATCTATTCTGATTCTTCCACATCCTGAGCAAACAATTAAACTAAATATATTCCTGCCAGTGCTCAGACACCAGAAATTAAAAAAGGAAATGGTCTTTATAGTGTGTGCAGCCACTCCAGAAGTCCCAGTAGGTAACAGCATCCTGCCTGGCCCAGTGATTCCAGATGGGATCAGACTGCTCTGTTGTCTGGGAGTCAAGAGCCTGGTTTATCTCCCCAGAACGGTGCTGACTCACCCTGCAGGAGCACAACCCACCCACACTGCTTCCCCCAGCCCTGCCAGAGGGTGGGATGAGGCAAGAGTCAAGCTGCAGTGGAGGAGAAGTGGGTGCCAGCTGAGCTGGTGGGTGCTGAGCACCCCCTGGGGGGGAGGCCTTACCTGGTGGGAGCAGAGGCTGCCGGCTGCTGGGTGTAGGCCGGGTAGGCGGGCTGGGTGCCGTAGGCAGAGGGTGCAGCGTAGGAGGCCTGGGTGGTGGTCACTGTGGCTGTGCTGCTGTCGTAGGTGGCTGTGCCAGAGCCCTGCACGGGCTGGCTGTAGGCTGGGGGGGCTGCAGGGGTGCTGTAACCTGGGGGGGAACACAGCTCGTCACACCATGGAGCTTCCACCCCGTGGTTTATCAGCTCTCGGGCTCATTTCAACACCAGACACCGAGGATAGGTCATTAGAGAATGGTTTGGGTGGGAAGGGACCTTAAATATCATCCAGTTCCAACCCCCTGCAAGGGCAGGGACACCTCCCACCAGCCCAGGCTGCTCCAAGCCCCATCCAACCTGCCCTTCAACACCCTGGTCTTGAACTGGCTTGAACAGGGGTGGGGCTTCCATAGCTTCCCTGGGCAACATGTGCCAGTGTCTCACCACCCTCACACTGAAGAATTTCCTCCTAATGTCTAACCTAAATCTCCCCTCTTCCAGTTTTGATCCATCACCCCTCAGCCTCTCACTACAATCCTTTGTAAAAAGCCCCTCCCCAGCTTTCCTGTAGCCCCCTCAGGCACTGGAAGGCTGCTCTCTTCTCCAGGCTGAACATCCCAGCTCTCCCAGCCTGTCTTCACATGGCTTTGTGAATTGTCACAGAACTGTCAGGGTTGGAGGGACCTCTAGAGATCACCTGCTCCAACTCTCCCTAGAGCAGGATTGCCCAGAGCACATCCCACAGCACTGCATCCAGGAGGGCTTGGAATGTCTCCAGAGAAGGGGACTCCACAACCCCCCTGGGCAGCCTGGGCCAGGGCTCTGTCACCCTCACAGGAAAGAAGTTTCTCCTCCTATTTCAGTGGCACTTCCCATCTTCCAGCTTGTGCCCGTTGCCCCTCGTGCTGTCCCTGGGAACCAGTGAGCAGAGTCTGGCTCCAGCCTCCCTGCACCCACCTGAGATACTTACAGGCACTAACAAGGTCTCCCCTCAGCCTTCTCCTCTCCAGGCTGAGCAGTCCCAGCTCTCTCAGCCTTTCCTGGGAAGAGAGATGCTCCAACCCCCCAGTCATTGTTGCCCACTCTGGACAGTTCCAGCAGTTCCCTGTCTCTCCTGAACTGAGGAGCCCAGAACTGGACCCAGCAACCTCCACAGCACCTTCCTCAGCCCTGGAGAAACCTCACCCACAGCCCCAGCTCTGCCCTCACCATCCAAAATCCACACTCTGAGGAGCTTTCTGGAAGCCACCCTTCCACCAGCACCCAAAGGCTGGTTGTTTCCAGCCACCCAAGCTCACAGCTGATGGACTCCAGTTCATGCAGGACAAACTGGGGTGTGCAGAGGCTTCTGAAGACAGGAGAGCTGAACAAAGCTCCTCTGAGCCCTCAAGTAAAATAAATCCCATCAATGTGAGCAGCACACTCCCATCCTTTCAGCTTTTTTGAAAAAGAAAAGCCCAAAATGGCACCAGGTTGACTTGACAAGTCTTTCTGAGCCATTTACCAAGTCTTATTATAAACCAGCAATCCTGGAAACAAAAGAAAAGCACTTTCCATTTGCTTTAACTCAAGAGAAGTTCACAAAAGCCATGCAGGGTAGCTGCTGGTGTTTGATGTACCTCTCTTTTTCTTACTATTTCAGTTTGTTTTAGCTAAAAAGCTTGGAGCTCCTACATTTCTTTCTCAACAATGTTATAAGAACATCCAAGGTCCCAAACCAGCTCCATTTAAATTCCTCCTTCCAGCAGCCACCACTGTATAATTTACCCAACCACTTGGCTTGTCACAAAGGTGACCCATAAACCTGGCACTGACAGGGTGGCTTTTTATAGTTAAGAACTTTGCAAGAAGGTTTTCAAATGATGAAGCAGAAACCTACATGAAAAACAACAACTCAATTAAAAATGCTGTCAGTAAAGCTGACTTCTTATAGAAAATAAAAAACATCTATTGCCAAAGAGCAGCCAACTGGTCTCAGTCTTAGTGATGTGATCTTAATTGCATCAATTAAGATACCAGCTTCTCCATCACTTATTTTTCATGAGCACAGGACGTTTGTGACATATGATTCCTTCTCATTATGCAGCATTTTAGGCAAATTGTGCTGCAGGGTTTTTTATTTCAATGCCCTGATTTGCAAAACAAATGTATTCCCAGCAGCCCACGAGGTGCCCTCCACTTCCACATCTCTCTGTTCCTGCTGCAAAACCAGGATCCTCCCCAAGAACTCTTGGAATCAGCAAGAAAAGAGGAAGAGAAGTAAGAGGAGGAAGTTTGAACAGCACATGAGTTTAAAAAAAGAAACCCACAACCTTTAGCTTCTGTCCCAAGTGATGCTTGATCCAAATGTCACAAATTTTCTGGTTAGGCTCAAGACAAGGGGACACGAGTCTGTCCACTCTTGTCGCCTTGTCATTCTTGTCACCACAGCTGCCAAAAAGCCTCTGCCCACCCCCACAAGCCTCATTCCTCCTACCCTGGCCCCTCTGACACTTGTCATGCTCCCACCCTCCTGCTGGACACCACGGGCTGGTTGCCACACCACAGGGCTGGTGACACCCATTCCAGAGCCCAGCCTGGTCTCCCAGCAGGAAACAACTTGCACCAATCACTATTTTCCTGGTCATGATTCTTTTTCTTTTTGCTCTGAAAAGCAAAGTGCTGAGTGCTGCTGAGCAGGGCTGAGGGAACAATGCCCAACAGGATAAAATGAACGTGATTTTTAGAGCCTCAGAGGAATGTCAGCAGTGCAGGCCCCTCAACATGAGCCACCACAGCATTTCCACAGCCAGCAACAACACCAGGAGATGAAGAAATCCTTCTTTGAACTGGCCAGAGCCTGAGCCTTCACTAAAGGAGCCTGCTGTTTGCAGAAATACAGCCTGCAGTGCCTGTTGCTGAAGCCACAGGGCTGTCCCTGTCCCTCAGGGTGATCCTCCTGCTTCTGGGTCCCCTTTTTTCAGCCCAGTTACTGGCAGCACTAACCTCTCCAAACAAGCCAGTTTGTCAACACCTGGCTCTGCACAGCCAACAGAATAAAAGGGAAAGAAAAAGAATCTTGAATTTTTATGCTTCAGCTCTAGATGGAGCATTTCCCTCATGCATTCCCTCAGCAGGAAGGGTTTGTTCCAGGAAAAGAAAAGGCAGTGATTTAACTGCCCACTGAGATAAATTTTCACTTCAATGACTTGTTTATGTAGCCTGACAGTCTCCAAGAGCTGTATTTTTGAGGGGGGCATTTACAGGACATCACTTCTCTCTCCTCCTCCTCTCACCAGTTAGAAAGATAAGGGGGCAGCCTGCAGAACAGAGGCTGGAAGAAAAAGGTAACAGCAGAACTTTGATAACCTGCTTCAAGAAGCCCAGGAACGTGGCTCAGCTGCCTCCCCAGTCAAGAAAAACATTCACTGACACCTGGGAAGTCTTCAGATGGAGGGGAAGCTTGAAGGGTTTGGTCCTCAGAGAGCAAAGACTGCAAAGACTGGATTCCAGGAGGTTTATTCCTACTAGAAGCAGCTCCTGAAGGCCTCTCCTGATGCAGGCAGCATCACAAGCCACCCAGGGGGGGTCTGTGTGCCCCAAGAGCCCACTCCTGCTTGGCAAGCAGTGAGGATGAAGAGAATGGGGAGGCAGAGGCAACTCTCTGCCCCATTCCAGTGTGGCAGATTGTTGTGGTGGCCAAGGCAGCTGTGGGTGTGTTCATCTCAAGTTCTGGATACATCAGAAGTGTAAAATACACCCAACAATAAATTTCACAGGTAAAAAAACAAGAGGAGGGGCTTAGGGAGGGAGCCCCACTTAATGACTGAAAGGAGACTCATGCTTGGACCTTTGAAATGATGTCTCTGCCCCCACACGACGTTGTGAGGAGGCCAATAACAGAGGCAGCTCTTTATTTACTCTTGTAATGTATGTTTATACACTGCTGTGATTAAAGAGCAAAGCTGATGCTGCTGATTAATCCCCTAATCCAGCTGCCATCCAGGGAGCTGCAGAGGAGCCTGCAGGCTCCCAAATCCCTCTTCTCTGTGACAAACCAATGGGGTGACTCCCAAGGCATCTTCTCCAGCAGCCTCAGGGAAGGAAGAAGAACAACCTGAGCAGTAAATCTCATCTTGGGCAGTAAATCTCACCTTGGGCAGTAAATCTCACCTCAAGCAGCCCAGGAGTCTCACCTAAGGCTCTGAGGAGATGCAGAAGAATCTCTCTGCCATTCCTGCAGAGTCCTGAGAGGATCCATCTGCACAGGATTTGAATTTCCCTGCCCACAACAACATCTTACCCCAAAAACCAGGCTGTTAAAACAAAAAAAAAAAGAAGGCACTTTGCTTTTAAGTAACTACAGTCAACCCTGTGCTGCAAAAGGGCAATACCTTGGAAAAAGAAACTGAGATGCACCCAGGAAAAGGGCAGATTCTCTCAGGGAATAAAGATGTTTGCCTCAGGCAACACCCCCAGGCTGTATTTAGGATAGAAGGCAGAGCCTGAGAGAGGGAAACAGGCTTCAGGGACAGCTCTGGCTCCTCGAGGAGAGGCAGGTGTAGGAAGGAAGAATAAACACAAACTGGCACTGAGCCTGGAGAGGAACATCAGCAGCTCTGCCACAGCCCCATCCCACGTGCACTCAGGCAAACCCCACCAGAAGGTTTGAGATGATCTGCTGCTTGAGCACTTCCTGAGTTTCCTTTTTGTGTGTGTGGCAAGAAAAATGAAGCTTTCTCCCTGAAAACATAAAAAATGTGCAGAAAAGGTGACTAGGATTATTATTCCTTCAGCAAGCACACTCTTTAAGGGATGAGAAGAAACATAAACAGCACAGCTTCCTGTGAGCCCTGCAGTCTGTAGAGAGGGTTAAAGGACTCAAACATTTCTAAGGATGGAATTTTGGAAGTCCACACATCCTTTTTGCTGCCAAATTATGTCCATATATTCTTAAAATGAAAGGAGAAAAACCTGTAGACAACCCCCAGAGATGCTGAGTAAAGGGGTACTGGCTGTCATTCTGTGCTGCCAGGCAGAAATTCTCCTTATCCATGTAAAGATATTCAATATTTGAAATGCCACAGACTAAAGGTTAATATTTTTCCCCTCTTCTCCTTGTGAAGGATTCCTTCTGTGGCAAGAATCCTCACTGTCTGTCCTGGTATTCCCTTGCCTTGGGAAGTAGTTCAGAAAGCTCTAAGAAATGTTTATAATGGTTCTGAAAGCAAAGGATGAATCTGCAGAAAGTAAGTGTTACTCAGAGGAATATTTGGTTTGTTTTTCAAAGACTCCTGAAGATTCAGTCCAAATCAACCAGAACTGAAGGATGTGTTGATGGTTTCTTTCAGACATGAAGACACTGGTAGGCACAGAACCCCAGTTCAAAGAGCACAGGTTGGAAAAGCTCACAGGGCACTAATGGACACGGGGTGTGTGTGTCTGCACATCCAGAGACAACACAAACATGCAGAGGTGGCAGTCAGGGTGCCTGGGGGTGTCTAACCAGGCTGGTTACCCTTTAGGGGACAGGACAACTGGGTTAGATTAACCTGGAACACCTTGGCACGGCTGTCCTGAAAGCTCAGGAAGTTTTATCCAGGAAGGATGTCACGTGGAGGCTTTACAGAGCTGTGGGGCTGGTAGACAGCAGCACAGATTCTTCCTGTCACCACATGTGCTAATGCTGGGAGTTTTTAGTGCTAAAGGACACCTAAAGGGTTAACACCACCAGTTTAGACAAGATGAGACAGCATTTTCCATGCAAGAGTGAGCAGGAGAGTCAAACCAGGACTAGTCCCTTCTACTGGGGGAAGCAGAAGACAAAAAGTAGAGGGTGCACTATCAGAACAGGCACAGGTCACTTTCATGGGGTTGGTTTTCAGGAAACCAAAGTGCTCAGGACTCAGGTTCTCCAGAGCAGTCTGAGAACTTGCTAGTGCCTCTCTGAGCACAGGACACACTGCAGCCCTGCTCAGCTCCCCAGCATGGACCAGCACACCAAAGGCTCCCTGAAAGACTGACCAGGCAGGTTTAGATGCTCTGAGGGCTGGAACAGCTCTGGAGCCAGGCTGAGAGAGTTGGGGTGTCCAGCCTGGAGAAGAGAAGGCTCCAGGGAGACCTTAGAGCAGCTTCCAGTGCCTGAAGGGGCTCCAGGAAAGCTGGGGAGGGGCTTGGGACAAGGGCAGGGAGGGATGGGATGAAGGGGAATCGTTTTAAGCTGGAAGAGGGGAGATTGAGGTTGGACATGAGGAGGAAATACTTCACTCTGAGAGTGGTGAGAGCCTGGCCCAGGTTGCCCAGGGAAGCTGTGGCTGCCCCATCCCTGGCAGTGTTGAAGGGCAGGTTGGATGGGGCTTGGAGCAACCTGGGCTGGTGGGAGGTGTACCTGCCCATGCAGGGGGTTGGGACTGGATGATCTTTAAGGTCCCTTCCCATCCATACCATACCATGATTTTATGATTTACCCCTTTTCCACCCACCCACATCATTGTGAGCTGCCCCTCTACCCCGGGCAGGTTATTGAGGAAGGAAGCAGCCTTTCCCACCCCAGAGTCCCCATGTTTGGGGCAGGGTTGCCCAGGAGCTGAGTTGCCAGGCCAGCCCGTGGCTCTTACCAGCAGGGGGCTGTCCGTAGGAGGAGGCATAGGCCGTCTGCCCGTAGCTGGCCGTGCTCTGGGGCTGGGTGTAGCTGACATCCGTGGGCTGCCCGTAGGTCCCGTAGCTCTGCTGCCCATATGTCTGCTCCAAAGACAACACACACACTCAGTTCCTGCACAGAAACAGCTCGAGGACCTGGCAGATTCACACTGAGTGTTTCATTGACCTGCCTGGCTCAGGAATCTGGGGGATCTGAGCTACTGGAAGCAATCAAAGCTACTGGGAATGTTTGGTGCTACCAGAAATTTCGGGTCAGATCTGAAGTCACAAAGGAGCAGAGAGGTGGCCTCAAGAGCAGCTCTGCTCTGGAGCCAGGCTGGGAGAGTTGGGGTGTTCAGCCTGGAGAGGAGAAGGCTCCAGGGAGACCTTAGAGCAGCTTCCAGTGTCTGAAGGGGCTCCAGGAAAGCTGGGGAGGGACTTGGGACAAGGGCAGGGAGGGATGGGATGAGGGGGATGGATGAAAA